TATCTTTATTTAACTTTGTCTAATCTTGCATTTTTGTATAATCTCTTATAACATATCCGTTCTTGCTTGACTTTGTGATCTATTGCTTACGATTGAAATGTGTTAGTAAAACTACGTATCTTAATTAATATCAAGTTACATAGTATCTAGACTTTCAGCGGATATTAACTTACGTTACTCATTACGTTACTTTTGAGTAGTTTATACGCAGAAGCCTCATCTATAATAGTAAAACTTAACTATAAATTTAATAATATATAATATGTATCACATATCTGCTCTTTAAATTCTTTGAAGTGGAATCTCACTTTAAAGAGTAAAAATAGAGCGAGTGAAAAAGAGTGGCTTAATTTTCAATCTTTAACAGCAAGATTTCACTCTTCAGAGAGAGATTCACTTTCTAATTTTTAGAGAGTATGTTCCTTTTATTAATTTTTTTCTTTTTCTTCCATCCAGTTAATAATGAACTATTAATCGAGTGATACTAATAAATCGGATTTTAGTTAGTGAGTAAAGTGAGCAAGATATTGGGAAAATAAAATGAACAATGAAAGAAACAAGCAACAATATTTCTTTACGTCATTCACGATGGGGACCTCGTTATCTAAGGCGGGTCCGGGTGGCACCTGCCCCATTTGTTCGCGTTAGAAGATACCGCGGATTGTTCGCCGCATTTTATCGCAAGGACGGCCCTCACGGTGTTATCACTGAAAAATGGCCGCGCTGTTGCGAGGAGGAGGACGGACCATCCGGTTCGGAACTTAATGCGTTACTTTGCGCGGCAGCTGCAACTCCTTTCTGCTTTCATTTTCGCTTATACCTTTCTTGCTTTCATCACAAAGTTCAGAAGCTTCTTCAGGAAACCGTAATTTCGAAATACCGCAGTCTTTGAAGATTCAAGGCCATCTTTACGATCCGATAATTATCCTCGAAGAAACAGTATTAGAACAGTATTAGTTTTTTTTTCTCTTTCGTTCTCTTTCTCTCTTTCTCTTCATATTTTCCATCAGCATGATATGACATACGGAATAGATAAATAGAGAAAGAGGATGAAGGAAGAGAGCGAGAGAGAGAGAGAGAGAGAGAGAGAGAGAGAGGGAAGGAAGGGGGGAGGGACAGGGAAAAGGGAAAAAATCGGGAAATAAAAGCGTGCCGCAATTCGCGAGCTCGTAATTGATTCTGAAACGCGCGAGATTCCCCGCGGTCGCGTTAACGTATTATTTCAGTGCCACGTATCGCGACGTAGCTCCGTGAATGCGATACATCGAATGGCAAAATTACTATTTCGACGTGCGGAGCCAATTATCGTAGCCAACGATGTGTTGTAACGATTGCATGTAGTTACGCACGAGAGGCTCGACTACAAATATCGTTTTTTTTTCGGTTACGACTTCTGTAAACAACGTTATGTTTATTTAACCGCATTTTGTAAAAAATTTAGGACATAACTGGTCGTGCGGTTGAGTAATTGTCAGCCGCTTTTCGCACAAATGTGATCATTTAATCAATGATCGTCTCACACTTAATCGTGGAGAATATAAAAACCGTATAAACGTACGATACAAAGAGAGATGGGAAAAAAGCTATAAAAAGGAATTAAAAATTTACTTTAAATCCGAGCTTTGGATTATCATATGTATTTTTTGAGCGGATGTGTATTTTAGTCCGCGAATGTCATTTTTAGCTTATATAAAGCAAGTTAAAAAAATCCGGGGGGCTTACATTTAAAAAACTATTCTTTGGCAAAATGCATTTTTAGTTAACATTCAAAGTCGACGGACGAAAATTTGCTAAATTATATTTTAATATAAATTAGCGGAAAGAGAGCGCCGCGTTATTGCAATATGCCATTTCCAAGCACTCTTTAGAGGCTTGTGTTTTATTTTGTAGTGGAAATCTGAATAAAATAATTCTAGTTGGCGATACACTCATTTTTTTGGATTATTATAATACGAAGTAACAATACCCATCTAAGCGATTTTTGCTGAATCCAACATTAAAAACTGTTTGTTTAGATTCAATAAAATTTTCTGAAAAATAAGAATTTCTGAACATTAATTGAAAATTTATTTTTTCTTGTGGTAATTTTTTTACATACAGTTTGTATCACTTTCTAATATATATTCAACTTATGTTAAATTACACGGAAAAAAGAAAGTAACTATCGTAACTAAAAACTGCATGTAGTAACTAAATGGCAGATGTAAAATATGGATAGCTAAAATATAGGTATCATAGTCAGTGTCTCAGCTGTTATCTATATATTATAGCAGCAACAGCAAACCATTTCGCTGTAGTTTATAAATTTATGGTTACAGCAGCGATTATAACAAACAAAGATTAGCAGCGGCAGAGAAAATCTTTTTTTCTGTGTAACATAAAAATTGAAGTGAATCATCGATTTGGGACACACGTGAAACATCAAATATATTAAATTTAATAGAAATTTTCCAACGGTGTTACAACAAGCTAATCAACAGACGCAATTCATAACTAGGGTAAATTCAAAATTCCCATCAAAATTTGTAATCTGATCATTCTCTTTGCTATCCCCTCCGCACCGAAAATTAAATCTCGGTAATAATTAAGTCGCAAGGCAGTGTTTTACTAACATTCGGAAGAATCAAACGTTTTAATCAATTCTGACCTCCAGCAGCTTAATTCGTTGAAGTTCCTGTAATCGTTTTAACTCGAAACCCGTTAACGCACAGTATTTTTACTGAGGAGAAATCTCTTTCTGTTATTTTCGTGTGTACGGAGAGCAGAGAAAATTCTGTTAAAGTAGCTAGTTGATGATAGCAAACGCGAGCGGTGTGCAAAAAAGCGTGAATTTAAGGAGATGTGACGGGAATCAAGGGATTTTTCGCTGTCGAAGGAACGACTTCCGTTCGACGGTTGCATCGAACAAAACATTTCCTCTTTTTAAAGGCGTATCCTGCGAATGCTCGCGCACACGTGATCCCCGGAGTCTCGGCGGAGGAATATTTGCACGTGGGTGCTTCGTCGTTCTTACTCCTCTTGAGTGGTGCTCCATACAGCGGTAACATGATTTCTTTGTTGCCTTATTGCCGTTGCGATAGCGGCAGTCGAGAGTTCGTATCTACAGGTTGTTGATTTTGCCATGGATGCAGATATTTCAACTTTTGCTCCACTGCAATCCCACCTTTTCCCGCAATTTCATCCGTTCGTCTTCGTTCATCGTCATCCACTTCACCCGTTCTGTTCCTCCTTCTAGTTGTCGTTTCCGTCGCCCAATCGCCTCGATTTCTTTACAGAAATTTTCTAGGTACAGAATCAATTTACAATAACGAATTCTCGCTTCTTCAGCGCCATTGCCATTGGCCGGGGTCGATTCTCTTGACATCCCCCGGAGCAAGGAACAAAGAATTTCTTTAATTGGCAAAAGGAGTCGCGCCTCGCATTTTTACGAACGGGATGAGTCTCGGCGAGCACTCGTTTTCTCAAATTACACGGGGAAATTACAGAGTTGCGCTTTCTTTGTCAGGGTGTAAACGAATCGTGCCAACGTTAATCAAAGTATAGGCAAAACCATATAGTACAGGCAAGCCCTTTTTTTAAACAATTAGTATTTATACACGTTCGTAATAAAGTTCTGCAATCAATAGTAAAAGCGTTCTCTCATTTAATAAAATTTAAAAGTAAATTTAAATAGTGCGTGTAATTTGTTTATGTCGAAATGTGTATGAATACCGAGTTATTAAAATGCTACTAGACAGAACAGTCACTTTGTTGAATATTCTGTCAAACAAATGCTTTTATTAATTTCTGTAAAGTTTGAAAAGTGGCATGGCGCAGGCAACAACGTTGTTCCCGGAACCGTTTCAATTACGCAGGAAACAAAGTTGGTAATAATTCTATTCGGAAATATTTCGCTGGCATGTGCAGACCTACGAATTCAGAGATTTCCGTAATTCTGACAATAACGTTTGCGGTCTCTTGCGCCTCTATAATTTAGGACCACAAATAAATTCATTAAACGCATGCAACATCGCGCTACTTGAACATGGAATAATTTAAACGATAAACCGGACATCAGTAATGAGTATCAAAGTCCAAATAAATCAAAAGTATCGACGTACGAGCCGGAAAATTGTATATTAAAATTTACGTTTAATCCCGCACGAATGGATTCAACGCCAATTTCCAATATCAATTTTCAATGTTTTCACAATATTACAGTAAAAAAACACGAAACCATATACAGAAGAGAATAATCTGGAAAAATAATTCTATTGGAATAAAGGAGAAAAATGGAAGATTGAAGAATAAAATTGTATAATTAATACTTATATACAAAATTTCCCATCTCTCATATATCTTTTCGCAGAATTGAATTCTTCAATTAAGGACGTTGGCGTTTATTAATTTTATTGAAAAACGATAACAACAATAGCAAGCTGACGTAATTAAGCATCATCCGATTGCTCAAAATATACAGAAATCACATTGTGATTTCATTACATTACATCTTTATCGCGCAAGTTTTCAATAATTAAAATAACATCTGCCACATTTATTCTCTTTGTTATATTTTACGGGTATAATTTTTTAAAACAATTTCTCGCAATCTGAAAATTCGAACAAATGTATTTTTTCGTTAGAATCGAATTGAATTGGACGAGAGCTATCGATTATATATTTAATGTCGGAGAAGAAAAGAGATAATTAATATTAGACATTTATCACACGAGGCTTGTTTATTTAACCGTAAACGTCGGGCGTGCCGGTTAGGCACTGACCGAATTAATTGAAATCCTCACGGCGGTCCGCGCGTTAATTGCCTAATCGAATCGTGAAAGTCGTACGGCACGCCGCGCCGGGCTCGCGTCGCGTCGCGTCGCACCGCGCCGCGCCGTTTGAACCTGCGGCGTTCCCGCCACATTATCGACTGGCCGCGGTGCGCATGCGAATGCGCCGTGATTGGCGGCAGGCCGCGTACCGGCCGACGCGCGCCATCTTGTTTCGACGGCGAGCGAGCGCCGAGCGAGCGAGCGAGCGAGCGAGCGACCCACCCAGCGGCAGCGGCGGCGGCGGGCAGCAGTAGTACATCGCGCTCTCGGTAGTCATCACGACGACGGTATCGCGCGTGCCGGATATACATCGAGATCGTAAATACGGATATAAGTATAATCGAATTCGAGGCCGTTCCGTTTCGCTCTCGAGCATACGATATACGCGACGAGTTACGACGCACACTCATCGTCGCATCCGTGGGAAGAGAGGAGGAAGGGACGGGGCGAGAGAAGGATCCTACTGCGGAGAGTTCCCATCAGGTATCTTCGGAGCGGACACTCTCGACGAGAATCGTGGGATCATAATAGGTGGGCCGGGAAGAGGAAGAAGAGGATGAAGAGGATGCTGGCGCTAGTCGCGCTGCTCGGCGTCCTGTCGGTCTGCCGGGTGCAGGTAAGAATCCATCATTACTCCGTCTCGCGCATATCTTTCTCTTTCTCTCTCTCTCTCTCTCTCTCTCTCTCTCTCTCTCTCTCTTTCTCTCACATTCATTTTCGTTCTTTTTTTCACCGATATAAGCGGCGAGTTGGAGTTGGACGTATTGGTGACAGAACGAGGGAGAGCTTGCTCACGCGACGCTTTCACCCTTGAGCCAGGGAAATGTCAGGCGCAGCAAGGCGCTCTGAATGCGATCGATGTAGTGTACCGCGAACTCCGGCTTTTTCCTTTGCTCTGAAATCAACGTGCCGATACTCCGGCCGCGATTCTCGGCCCACTCTGCCATGGCGGCTGTCAAACGGTCCGATCAATGACCGTGATGCCGATCGCACCTGCTCTTAGGCTACGTTCCAAAACTTCGTCTCTGAGGAAAATTTTACTTGAAATATATAGTGCATCTAACGTATACTATAGCATATAGAGTAAAATCTTCCTCGGAAAGAAAGTTTTGGAACGTAGCCTTAAGAATCCTCGTTTCGTGACTAACTAACTACAACGAAAATCGTAACGCGCTGGAATAATACTTGA